GAGGGAGAAACGAGGAGCAATACACTCCTCAACCTGCTAATCCCCTTTTCTCCTCGGTCCATAGATATAATATAGGTACGATGCCAACCGTTCGTCACGGAAGGAAGGGCTCACTAAGTTGGGGTCACTAACTAATACTAGTCTAATATAAAAAGTCTTCCAAGCACGTTAAAAATTCGTGCTGAGTCCCTCCACTGATCGGAACACTTATAGGAGCTCCTGCGTCAATCATTTTCATTCCTCCTCTCGCTAATCCGTCTGTAGCACTCAGTCTGATTAACATCTAATGACAGTTTCATTGTCATTAGATGTGTGGCAACCTGAACCAACGTCAATGGAAGTTCTGAAAATAATTTCATTTTTCCTAGATGGATATTAAACTGTGTTAGAATTCTTGGAACGGATCAAATAGAGAAAAGAAGGCCATCTTTTACTGTTGAATAGAACAAATCAAAGTAGAGGCACCAATATCCAATGTTTTCACAAGCCAAAAGGGCAATTCTTAAACAAAATTGATGGATCTGTAAAATTGTAGCATTATTATTTTTTGACTTACCTTAACCTAGCACATGAATTGCTCCCCAGCTAGTGCCAATTGTCACAACCCAAAATCTCACCTTAAGGATTGTGATGGCACCTAGTCTCTACAACTAGGTAAGCCGATCAATTACAACAGTTAAACAAATTAACATGATATTTCTAAAGCAAAATTTAATATAAATACCGAAATAAAGGTGATACAAGCCTACACGACAATAATCACAACAATCTAGATCCTCAAGACTAGGTAGTACAGGGTCACGAACTCTACTGAGTACATAAAATAACTCAAAACAAAATACAATATTGTTCGGATAGTGAATTAACAGTACAAACAAAAGGAAAAGGACTCCAAGGGACTGCGGCGATCGAGCGGCTCTACCTTTAATCCTCACGATCAGGGAAGCTAACATTGCTTGGGTCCACAGTTTCCAACACCTGGATCTGCACAAAAATGTGCATAAGTGTAGCTTCAGTACACACTAATTGGTACCTAGTAAGTATCAAGACTAACCTCGGTAGAGTAGTGATGAAGTACAAGTCAGGACACCTACTAGACATAATAACCCATGCAGTATATCAGCATAAAGCTAATAATGGGAGCAAGAAATAGTAAATGGCAACAAGGAATAAACATGTGGTAAAACAGTAAAGTAATTAGAACACCGTTAAAGTACCAGTGAGACCAAACAAGAAAAACAAATAACAATCAAATAATCAAGCCGACCTAACACAATGATTACCACAGAAACACCCCGAGGTACCACACCTCATAACCACAAGCCACGAGTCCCAAATCACGAATCATATAGACATGGCCCCTCGTGCCCACATTATCGATCACAGCCGCACGAACAACTCACGTGCCAATATCTCAATCCGCCAAGCATGGTCACAGGCTCACTATCACAATCCGCCCGGCATGGTCACAGGCCCAATATCACAATGAAAGCAGATATACAAGAATACATATGCATGATCAATGAATTTTCAAGTTTCATACTCCTGAATTGGTATAAATGACATGTTACAGTGTATGCATGTGCGAGTGTACTATTGCGATCCTAGTCAACAAGTAATATCAAAGATATCGAGTAGTTAATAAGAAGCAACACAATAAGTCACATACTGTGCATAACCCACACAAGGTAAACCATACCATCACACGCATGTCATCATTAATATGCCCCCAAGCCATCACGTATCAACCCTGACATAGCCACCCTTATCTCACGGCACCGACAATATCGTATTAGCCACCCGTATCGCTCCGCCCAAACAATAAACACAATAGCCACCCGTATTTCTCCGCCCAGACAGTATATTAATAGCCACCCGTATTAATCCGACCAGACAATAGATTAATAGCCACCCGTATCACTCCGCTCAATCAACAACAGTGAAATGCCATCCTTATGCTCTGCATAGCACCAATCAACCATCACAACAAATCCACATGTGCCAACATCACAACATGACATACCAACTCGTACTACACGTACCCATAGGTCACAATGTTGCCAAAATCAACAATACCAATGTTACCACAACACATAGCCCACGGCTTAACCACAATGTCTATAAGAATCTCAAGAAACAACAAAATGAAACGGGAATTAACTCAACAAGGATACTCCATAAAACAACTTCAACTAAAACAGGTTGATAGCTCTCAATAACTTCAACTTTAATTTCTTGCTTAAGCATGAACTTAACAATGAAAGGCATGACGTATACTAACAACCTCAATTAAATAAATATAAGAGTAACTCGACAATGAAAGATAGAACATGTACTAACAACTTCGGTTAAAGCATATAAGAATGAACTTGACAATGAAAGATATAGCATGTAATAGTGACTTCAATTAAGACATATAAGAGTAAACTCGACAATGAAAGATAGAGCATGAATAACGACTACAATCTAAGCATATAATAATGAATTCAACAATGAAAGATGTAACAAGTAATAACAATTCTAACTAGATACATAAAGTAACCTAAGAGTCCAAATCGGTCAATTTCCACATATAAGCCCGGGTACACACTCGTCACCTCATGTACCATAATTCAAATAGTGTAATTAGACCAAATCCTACGGGATAGTTTAATCATACAAAGTTAGGCAAGATACTTACCTCAAAGAAGTTAAATCAATACTCGAAAAAGTCCTCCCCATGTGAAACAACCTCCGGACGGCTCGAATCTAGCCAAAATAACTTAGTATCATAAATAAAAGCCATAAGAAACAATTCTAGATAATAAAGCTTCGATCTTGAACAAGAATCAAAAAGTCAACCCAAAAAGTCAACCTTGGGACTGCACCTCGGAACCCGACAAAATCCGAATACACATTCCGATACGAGTCCAACCATACCAAAATCATCTAATTCTGAGCTCAAATCGGCCTTTAAATCATTTTGTGTTCTAGAAAGTTTTTACTAAAATCTCCAATTTCTCTAATTCAAATCATCAATTAAATGATAAAAACAAGGATAAAATCATGAAATAACCAAATCCAAGTCAAGAATGCTAATATAACCAAATCCAAGTCAAGAATGCTTACCCCAATCCAAAACGTGAAAATCCCCTCGCAAATAGCCCAAATCCGAGCTCTAACTCAAAAAGTGATAAAATAACAAAAGCCCTTGAAATAGAGTATTATATAGTCTGCCCAGGGGTTCCTTTTCGCCATCGTGGAAAAAGTTTCGTAATCGTGAAACACAACTTCACTGCCCAGAGAAAATAAGCTACGTGTTCGCGGCACATACCCTGCGAGCGCGATGAACAATAAGGCCAACCTTCGCTAACATGTCCAACATATCGCGAACGCGATGAGTAGTTTCCTCTAGCCCCCAACTTCCTTGCGCGAACACAGAACCAATGATGCGAACGCGGACAACAACCTGCTGAAACCTTCGTGAACGCGTATCCACTATCGCGTCCGCGATGAACAAAATCACCTAGCTCCAAGAATCACTACGCGATCACGACTTCATCTTTGCGATCGCGAAGAACAACTGAAACACCGGAAAATCAACAACTCCAAACATGGGTGAAATGGCCCGAAACTCATCTGAAACACATCCAGGTCCCACGGGGCCCCGTCCGATCACACCAACCAATCCCAAAACATAACGCGGACCTACTCGGGGCCTCAAATCACGCCAAACAACATCAAAAATACGAATCGCACCTCAATTCAAGCCCAATCAACTAATGAACTTTCAACTTCTACAACTCACGCCGAACTATATCAAATCAACTCGGAATGACCTCAAATTTTACATGCAAATCCCAAATGACATAATGAAACTATACCAACTCCAGAACCACAATCCGAACCTGATATCAACAAAGTCAACTTCCGGTTAAACCTTTCAACCATCCAAACCTTCAACTTTCTAACTTTCGCTAAAAGGCATCAAATTGACCTACGGACTTACAAATCCAAATCCGTACATACGCCTAAGTACAAAATCATCATACGAGGCTATTGGAATCACAAAATACCATTCCAGAGTCAACAACAACAACAACATACCCAGTATAATCCTACGGGCGGGGTCTGGGGAGAGTAGTGAGCACGCAGACCTTGCCCCTACATGGAGAGGTAGAAAGGTTGTTTCCGATAGACCCTCGGCTCAAGAGAAGGTGGAAAGGAAGAATAGGGGAGAAGAAAAGGAGGAAAGAGGGGGGAGAAAGGCGATAAGAAAAGAGGAGAAAAGTAGCATCAAATTGTAACCATTAGGGAGAAACAATATCCAATAAAAAGGGCGAAAAAGTAGCATCAAATAGTAACAATCAGAGAGCAACAATCTCAGTAGCAATTTACAAAAACAAAGGACGTGGTTGCAAAGTACCAGATACAATAACAAACTAGAAGGAAGTAACTTTCAACCCACAACACGAATATTACTAGTACTACTGGTGAACCTATGAAAAACTCGCAACTACCTGTCAACCCACCACCTTAATCCTCGACCTCCACGCCTTCCTGTCGCTAGTCATGTCCTCGGTTAGGTGAAACACCGACATGTCGTGCCTAATCACCTCTCCCCAATTCTTCTTAGGCATACCCCTGCCCTTCGTCAAGCCCGCCATGGTCCACCTCTCACACCTCCTGACTGGGGCATCTATATCTCTCCTCTTCACATGCCCAAACCATCGCAACCTCGATACCCGTAACTTGGCTTCCACGGATGTCACTCCCACTTTGTCCCTAATAACTTCATTCGTAATCTTGTCTTTCCTGGTATGACCACACATCCATCTCAACATTCTCATTTCTGCTACGCTCATCTTTTGGACATGAGACTTCTTAACAGGCCAACACTCAGTTCCATACAACATAGCTGGTTTAACCACCCCTGTAAAATTTTCCCTTAAGTCTAGGCGGTACATTCTTGTCACATAAAACCCCTGAAGCTAGCTTCTACCTCATCCAACCCGCTCCAATGCGGTGAGTAACATCCTCGTTAATTTCCCCATTCCCTTGGATTATATACCCAAGATACTTGAACTATCTCTTGTGGGAATGACTTAAGTATCAATCTTTACTTCTACTTCTTCTTCATGCCTCTCTTCACTGAGCTTGCACTCCAAGTATTCAGTTTTTGACCTACTCAACTTGAAGCCTTTGGATTCCGGCGCCTGTCTCCAAACTTCCAACCTAACGTTAACACCCCCTCGCGTCTCATCAATCAGTACTATGTTATCAGCAAATAAAATGCACCATGGCAACCCCTCCACCCCTTGTATGTGACGTGTCAGGACATCCAACGCTAGGGCAAACAAAAACGGGCTAAGGGTTGATCCTTGATGCAACCCCATCTCCACTCGGAAATGTTCCGAGTCTCCTCCCGCAGTCCTCATCCGAGTCTTAGCGCCTTTGTACATGTCCTTAATCACCCTAATGTACGCTACCGGGACTCCGCTAACCTCCAAACACCTCCATAGCACCTCCCTCGGGACTTTGTCATAAGCCTTCTCAAGGTTAATGAACACCATGTGCAAGTCCTTTTTCCTCTCCCTATACTGCTCCACCAATCGTCTCACAAGGTGAATGACTTCTGTGGTTGACCGTCCCGACATAAATCCAAACTGGTTCTCAGATATAGATACGCTTGTCTTCACTCTCTTCTCCACCACCCTCTCCCAGACTTTCATAGTGTAACTCAGCAACTTGATACCCCTATAGTTGTTGCAGTTCTGGATATCACCTTTGTTTTTGTACAACGGAATCATCAAACTCCACCTCTAATCTTCGGGCATCTTCTTCGTCTTGAAAATAACGTTAAACAAGCTAGTATGCCACTCCAAGCCTACCCTACCCGCTTCTTTCCAAAATTCCACTGGATCTCGTTGGCCCCAGTCGCCTTACCCCTGCACATCTTCCATATAGCCACATCAACCTCCTCACACCTAATACGCCTACAAAACCCAAAATCTCTCTGACTCTCTGAGTTCTCCAACTCACCCAGCACGATGTTCCTATCCCCTTCCTCGTTCAAGAGTCTATGGAAGTACTCATGCCATCTACGCCTGATACACGCCTCTTCCACCAATACCTTACCGTCTTCGTCTTTGATGCACCTCACTCGATTCAGGTCCCGAGCCTTCCTCTCCCTAAAATACCATTCAAGAGTCGTCTATCCGAAAGTCAAACTCCGGTCAATTCTTACTACTTAAGCTTCTAAAACAAGGATCATTCTTCCAAATCAATTCCGAATCGCCCGAATGAAGCTTCTCTCCAAATGAAGCTTCTCAAGACCTTAAACCACCGAACGGAACGCTAAAGCTCAAAACGACCGGTCAGGTCGTTACACCAATTGTAGTTGGAGAGTTGATGTATATCATATGTAGCCTTCCCTTTGCATTTCTGCAAAGTGGTTATTTCTCCTTTGAACTCGTGACTTAGAGGTTACCGGAGGAGAGACTGTACCACTTCCGACAGATGCCCAAAGTAATAATACCAACGAGGTTACACATAAAATAATGTTCAATTAATTTGAGATTACATAAGAGTCTTAATATATATCTTTATGTAAAGTATGAGGCAACTACTTTTTCTTCACTTTCCGAAGTTGGTTGGATGGTGGTCTAAAATTTTCTATTGAGTTTGAGATTTTTTATTTTCTAACTTTTAGTACTCCCTTCTCCAAGAAACAAATGGTGTTGGTTGTTCAACTCGTTTATTTTTAGCTCTGAAATAGAATATTGTTTTCTTTTACTTTTTTAACTAAAACTTACATATTTGAAAACTGTATATAAAGTATAATTCTGGTAGTTAAAATTATTTAATGGTTGAAAGTGCCCTAATCACGGGAAAATTTGTTTGACTACCCAAATATTAATGACTTAACAAATTAGGACTAAGAGAGTATTATTAAAATTCCCATCTGTACTTGTCGTGCACACAAAAACACACGCACATGCTCTCTCTCTCTCTCTAAACACTCTATACCCAACTTCTAAACCAAAAAAATATTGCCAAGAGAATCCAGAATCATTAGTTTTATTGGTGGGCTTAATTGTATAGGATATTTGACTGAGATGGAGTAACTGGTGTAGCTAGCCATCCACCTAAAAAGAGGAAAACAACAAGAGAGAAAATGAGAAATTCACATTGTTCTTGCAGTTAATATGATCCCCTATTGCAGTCAATTCTCCCAAGTGCAAAAGTAGCATGCTATGTGTTCCTGCCAAACTGATCAGGACTCAATTATATAGGGATGGAAAGTGTACTTAAAATTATTACTGAGAAACAAGGAGCAACTTGTTTTTGTTTTTGTGGAAATTTAGGAAAAAACAGCCGATCACTGTTCTTCTTTGTGGACTGTAGTTTGTCCAACAGATTTTGTGCTATAAACTCAGAAGCAAGGCTTTTCATGGAACTGACCCAGGGGAAAGACTCACCTTACTGTGAGCATACAAACATTGAGCTTAAACTGTGACTATGACCGACCACTTTCACTATTTGATTGGTCCAACGCTTGGACTAGCTAGAATGTAAAGTTAAGTTTTATTAGTCGTATTGTCTTATGCCTCTCATGCTTCACAGGCTGAGTGTGAAGAGCTACAACAGAGGGTAGAGACATTGAGCAATGAGAATCATGCACTCAAAGAGGAGATGCGAAAGCTCTCTGAGGAATGTGAGAAGCTTACCTCGGAGAATAATTCGATAAAGGTAAACACTACTTCAATATCTTTTTCCTCACCCCTCTATATTCTTGTATGCTCATCTCATTTTCCCTCACATTCTCGAGTATCCTCTTCATTCTGTCCTAAATACTGTTGGTTATCCTTTTAATCCGACTAACAGGAAGAGTTGACGAGGTTGTGTGGGCCAGAGGGGGTGTCCAAGCTAGAGAGTAATGCCAATGCCACGCATCTTCAGTCCAATGTTGAGGAAGCTAACAGTTAAGGACAAGCCATGACAGAGTAGGTGATTTTGGTTAAAATGCTCACAAATCTCTTACGGCTCTCAAGAAATTTATAGCTTGTATGTGCAATAGAATGAGAAATTTCTGTTTTTCTACTAATTTATGCCCTTTTAACTGTTTTGAGTTAATTTGTAATATTAATTCATGAATTTGTAACCCGGGTTGAATTTGAATATATGACAACATTGTAAAAGTAACTGAATAACCGAAACATAAATTTTCAGGTCCTCCTAGTCTATTCCATCTTGCTTATTTGTTGTATCTTATCTTACTGTTGTCAATCCCCAGTTATCATCAAGTTTCCATACTCTTGGAATGACTATTAGTTGCAGACTACTTGCAGCTACGGTGTATGACATTTTCGGTCTGAAAGTTTAGTGGTAGTTTTGCTGCACTTGCAATTAGGATATACTTGTGTAAATCTTGGTGGACAGAGTTACCTGTGCTTGTACAAGATATTGATGGCTTTGAAAGATGATAATCAGATAATAATATGTAGATTATCAGTTGGATTGGTCTTAGACAGTTGTTATGAATAGTGCAACTAACACATTTCGCAGAGAAGGGAAAAAAAAGAGCTGAAAATGAATAAAGTACTCAAAAGTACGAAAAGAATCCGGAGGGAAAAGTGATTAAACTTTTGGGTAAATTATGCTAAACACCCCTGTATTACTGAGGTATCCAATAATAGGTTCAAGGGTATTGGTGATCCGAAGATAATTTTAAGACTAAAATAATCAATTCTATCACAAGATGAGACTAGTAGCTTCCATAGGTAACACAAGTCATTTTTCCTACAAGGAAAATTACAATATTAGATTTTCAATTACTTTTACTCCAATTCTAAATAATCTTGTAAAATTCAAATTATACGACATACTTTTGATTAACAAACTTGTAAGTTTTTGGTATCTACTAAACAAAATTTTCACAAATCTAATGAGTGTAATGAAAATACCAAAAGTAGTTTTCTCTTTAAATCAATTATTCAAATGGATTAACAATTGTAAATTCGTTACGAAAATTTACTAGTGGAGAGATAAAAAAAACCGTATAACTTTACAAAATTAAAAGTAGAATATGCTTAGCTCAATACTACAAGGAATAAAATTAGATTTTGCGAAGAAGAGAATAAAAGACAGCTGTGTTAAATTAACCTCCTACTACGGAGTCTGAAAAAATAGATACTCCCTCCGTCTCATAATATGTGTCGTGATTCTCTTGTGTGTGCCCCTTAAGAAAGAATAGTTTTGACTACTTTACTCTTATTAAATATTTTCTCAATTTATGTGTCATCTCCATAAGTAATGTGTTTGTAGTCTTCTAAGATAATTAATTATTAAGGCTAAAAAAAGAAAAATATAATTAATTTTGTCTTGAACTTCTAAAATGACAAATAATTTGAGACAACTATTTTTAGTAATCACGACACATTATGAAACGAAGGAAGTACATAAGATTGGGTGCGCTAAGGTAAAAATACAAATATAGACTACCTATTGCATGATTTCTCTCAACGACCTATTATTGGAATTGCATTGCATCCACTTTATAACTAGTTTCGAATTCTTTATTATGCTTTTTTTTTTTTCTGCTAGAAAGTTGTATGGTCGGTCCCTCTATAAACATCCACACTGTGTTTACTGCTAGGACATGTGTTTTCTACTCGCCCTTTAACCACTAAATCATGATTAACTAACACACATTTTTACCTGTAAATCAATATAACTTTGTTTAAAATTTAAACACTGGGTATGACCGTATGAGTTTCTTTTAATATGTCGGAGCATGAAAGGGTATGCTTAAAATTATAATTATGCTCAACATTTTGAGATGTGATTTTTCAGGTTTTTGCAGAAACTAACTTCGGGTGGCTTTTGCCCAGACGTGATGAACTCAGTTTGCTTTTCCTATAATACCGTCTTCCCACACGCGGTGTCAATTTACAGAAGAAGAATCACGTATGAAGAAATATACTTAAACATGGAACCTATTCGTTACTTTATTGCCAAATNGGCTGCTCTATGTTATCTACAACCCATTTTTTTGTAAATAAAACAGGGAAGCATGCCTGTTGAACTTGAACTCAAAGCATTACATGACTGGCTATAACAATCTGTTCAATTCAAGTTAATCTTGAAGATGGCAAAAAAAAAATGAATCAATATGTTCTCTTTCATCTATTACATTCTGGAATTAAGGAGGCCACTCACCCAAATCCCAAATAGATCTGCCAATTCCAAAGTAAACGCCTAAAACTACCAATGTATAGGGCAAATGATGAAAAAAGAGGAACAAAAACAAGCGTAGGACATATTAGAGAGAGCTACTAAATTTAATGCACATCTCATTTTAAAATAACACTAGGAGGTTGTAACTCAGGTAGAGTACATGCCTGGGTATGAATCTGCTCAAATTCATATTACTCTTGAAGATTAAAAGAAATGAAGCAACATGCTTTCTTCAAATTGATAAGCTAATCTGAAAGTATTCCTCACAACAGTGAAAATTTCAAACTTAAACTATCACTGCTTGGTCATTCGAACTATTACATTAAATGCCTCTATCGTTAAAGAATCAGAAAATAACAGCAATACATTTTTCAACCAAGCCAACTATATCCATGGAAGAGCAAACAATTTCAACAAGCTTACAAGTTAAATGCCAAAAGAGGCATACATACATATCTCTCTTAGTTAAGGTCAAGAACAAAGCTTAGCCCAGCTGATGACCTTTCACCACATTTGCCTGAGACAAAGAAACTACGATCAGATGACTAGGAACTCGCTTACAATTACTGTGAAAAAGATTTGAAATATTGTTCAGAACTAATTATGGTACACAAAACCATAAATATGGACTTTCAGAGTTGCCCATTAGCATTCCCAATGAATCAAACATTATAGACAGGAAAAAGAAAAAGAGGATCTTAATGTTGATCTTAAGAAAGAGATACATCAAAATGTGAAATATAGGTATTTCTCAACTGATTTGAGCTATCAGCAAAAGCAATCGCTTGCAACTGACTCACAGTAATGAACACAAGTGGCTTTAATTCAGGTCAACCTAGAGAAATATCAGAAACAGATCATATGAAATGGTATCAGTATGACTTCCAAATACTTCTGTTAGTTTGATAGTTAAATAGTAGTAAATAACCCTAATCCCATATGTATTAGGAGTAGGACATGTATTATATAAATAGGGCTCATTGTATCATTGTTAATATTAATCAATTATACTTTCTCCCGTGCATTCTCACATGGTATCAGAGCGTCAGTGAGAAAATTATCGTTGTGCATCATTCCAGCGGCCTCCGGGAAGAAAGACCTTGTTGCCGTGCAATTTTCCGGCGACTTAAGAGGCTGTCCGTAACTTCGTCAGTGTTGTGCAAAAACCAACACCACCACGAAGTAGATCGGCCTCCGACGACCAACCCATAAAAAATTCTCCGTCAGACAACTCCCAACGCGCCGCTGGAAGAAATTTTCCGGGGAAGCTCCGACGCCTACGCGCCGGCGCGTGACAGTGTTTCCGGCCACTTTTTCGCGAAATTCCTTCAGGACAGCTTACTCTCCTCACAATTCCGAGCCTACCCATCTAGTTCAAATCAAATTCCGACCACTTTGAGTTTTTCCCAGTGAGCTACAGTGATTTTCCCGGCGTGAACAGTGATCCCCAGCAAATTTCTGCTTTTTCCGACACAATATTATAATGGAATTTGTATCGGAAGCCTTTAACTCACAATATGTTGGATCCAATGCATTAAATCCCATCAAGATGGTTTCTTTACCGGATTATATTGAGTTCCTTCAGTACAAAGCACGTAAACAGACATCTTCAGGATTAGCCTCCGTTGTTCCAACAAATAGTAGCATGACTTGTGTCTCCCAATCTTCACCTTCTGAGTCTTGGGTCATTGATTCAGGTGCATCTGATCATATTTCTGGTAACAAATCTCTTTTCACTAGTATTTCATATTCTCAATCTCTTCCAACAGTCACAATGGCCAATGGGTCTCAAGCCATGACAACTGCAATAGGTCAAGCAAGTCCACTTCCTTCTTTACCTTTAGACTTCGTTCTTTATGTTCCTGGTAGTCCTTTTAATCTCATAGCCGTTAGTCGCTTAGCCAAATCCCTTAAATCTGCTGTTTTATTTCTTGATGACCTTGTTTTTATACAGGAACGCAGTACAGGGCGAATCATACGTGAATCAGATGGACTTTATTACCTTATCCTTGCAAAATCACATGGACTCGCATCTTG